ACACAGCATTTATGTAACGTTGAAAAGTAGCTGGTCCGCCGCATAATCCAAATGGCATGACAAGCCACTCGTATTGTCCATACCTTGTTCGAAACGCTGTTTTCCATTCATCGCCAGGTCGAATACGTAGGCGATGGAATGCAGTACAGACGTCAAGTTTTGTGAAGTATTGGGCTTTGGAGAGTTGCTGAAGTGTTTCTTTGATGAGCGGCAACGGGTATCTGTCCCTTTTTGTTATCGAATTGAGGCCACGATAATCAACACAGAATCGAAGACCTCCGCCCGGTTTTTTTGCGAATAGTACCGGTGCATTTGCAGGAGAATTGCTGGCGCGAATCCATCCTTTACGTAAGTAATCTGTAAGAGTTTTACGGAGAACGAGGAGCTCATCTCGTGACATGCCATAAAGTGGACCTGAGGGGGGTTCCTTAGGTTTGCCTTCATCGTCTAGTTCAAGGTTTATAGAATGGTCCCATCCTGGCTTAGATTCTGGGAGGATTCCATCTTCATCAGCTAGAAAGTTCTTTGCTAAATGTCGAAGCTGCTGAGGTAGTTGATTTGATATTTCTTCCACCGTTTGCTTGACCGCTGAGTTATCTAATTTTTTCAAGGCCTTGTTGATATCTGCTATAGTGATGGAGAATAAATGTAGATGTTTATTTGCTTTTCTTCCACGACGGATTTCCGCGGCAAATATTGAAGCTGTAACGTTTTTTGCTTGACGTAGTTGGTGCATAGAGCCTGATAACTCATCCCGTTCCATCCATCCAGACTCCTTGACTTTTATTGCGTTTGCACCACTTCCTAGAGTGAGAAACTTCTTACCTGCTTCATATGTTACATTGTTACGCTCGGCCCAACCTTTGCCGAGGATTATATTATATTGTAAGTTTGCTACTATGTAGCCAAATACTCTTTCAGCTCTACCGTCAATGTCAAGTGTAGCCCAAGTCATTTCGGTAATGGGAATTTGAGGTCCATCTTTGGCGAGCTTTAGAGATCTGTGGGTGACTGGAAGGCGTGGTAAGTGTGCCTGGTCTGCAAAACTACGATCAAAAACTGCGTAGGGTAGGCATCCTGTGTCAAAGAGTGCGGTGGAATAACAAGTAGAATTTATTAAAATATCAATTAAAAATGGACTACTATTCAACCTTTCAACAGCCTCCCTAATTTCGCTAGCAGGTGGTATTTGATCTAGTAGTTCTCCAAACACACCAACATTCCCCTGAACACGACTTCGTACAGGGGCTGCTAGTTTTCCGACTCGCTTATTGATGCAGAAGCTATCCTTAGATTGGACATTTCTGAGCGAAAACCTTTAAACTTGCATTCTCTAAAACGGTGCGATGGAAATACATTGCATCGAATACATCGACCTGATTTGAGACGCTGATGGCGTTCTTCCTCGGAACAATGAGGGGCATTTGGACGTTTATCTAGTGGCCGAGCCTGTCCAAACCCTTTGGAATTGTTTCCATTATTTATAGCTGATATAACTGTAGAAACAATAGAAATAATGTCAGTCCCTGACATTTTTATATCTCCCTCACGGTCACGTATTGGAGAGTTTACGCTGGGTTTTGGTGATTGTGATTGTAATTGTGTTTCTGTTTGGTTGACTATTTGCTTCCGTAGTTGCTCTTGAATGTTTAGAGGAAGGTCTCCGATCGCATTTTCGGTGTAGGTTTCTCCAGTGTCATCTACACTCTTAGCCTGAAATTCTGGCAAGGATTCCCAATTAGTTGCTAAAGTCGATAGTTGTTCGACGTATTTTTCATAGTTCAGCTTTTCTAGATCTGTCTGGTTTGCTGCAGCCCGGCGTAGATACGGAGCAATGGCCTCAGATAGGGTGTGGATTCGAGAAACTCCAATAGGAGCAAGTTCACCTGCATTGCTGAGATAACCTTCGAAAGTGTGAAGAAACTTTGCGAAAGGTTGCGCGTTTCCTTGTCTCACAGAGTAAAGGAGGCGTCGATTTCGAGCTTCACGGTCCCTATCAACGAAGTGCCGGTCGAATTCGTCGAGAAGTGAACTTGAGTAAAATTCTTTAGCTTTAACTTGTTTCTCAAAGAAAGGCCCCACTCGGCTTCTGTGCTCCGCTGGTAACGTCTGCATAAGTGCAAGGCAGACGCCTCTTTCACCACCAAAACCCTTGATGATTGCTGGGTCCTCCGCTGCTACTCGCCACATGACTGAGCATAAAGAATATTGATCAGGTGTTCCATCCCAAGTTGTGAACTTGTGCTGTACTGCGTCGGTTTGGTTTGTCATTGTGGCTTTAATATTTCTGGTTTCGTGTTTAGTTGTTGCGATTTTTGATTCAGGCGTCTGTGGCTCTGGTTCCAGGGCAGGTCTGTGAGACTCTGTATTTGCACTTGAGGCGTCGATTTCTATCGCAGAAATTTCACGGAGAATACCTTCAAGGTTAAAATTGTCGTCACTACTCATATAATTGCGAGACGTCGCTGATTACAAGTGGTTTAGACTAAAATGGAGATTACAATCAATGTGATAGCATGAGGGTCAGGAAAGACTCTGACTAAAAGGCAAAACAATAATATGATTGTAATCTATGAGGAGAGAAAGACATGGTGGCTAACGCAATACTATATACACATAAAAGTGGTTCCTCACTGGTCCAAGCGTACATTGTAGCACGTGATTAGTGTCCTATGACAGCACACACCTCTGCATGGGCCTGTAAGGCGGCAAACCGGGCTAAATGGAATCAAATTCAAAATGCTTCAGCCTCCTGACTGGTAGTGCCGTTTAGTGCAGCTTCATCTCTACTACCCCTCATGCAGCCTTGTGGGAAGAATCCCAATCTCAGGCTTGGGTATCCGTCTAAGCTCAAACAACGGTCAAACAGTAACCATCCTTGGTGAAATCAGTGTGAAAAAGAGGCGTAAAAACGGGGGGAGATGCGTAGAGAAGACTAGATTTCAGGCGTGGACGTTGAACATGTAACAGCGATAGAGGCCCGGCAGACGAAAACTACTTGACGGAGCAAAAGGGAACACAAAGCGAGGAGGCTTTGGTGGGCGACTGGATGAGGCCTGCAATGAAGAAAACGATCCCTGGATGAGATAAGGAGATACTAAGATGAGCCAAAGCTGGGAATGAATCGAAGGGAAAAGTTACAGATGGCGAAGGTGTCAAGGGCTCGGGTGCGTGGTGGCCGAGGCTGAGGAGGAAATTGCGCTTTGGCGCGCCAAAAGGGGGTTCTCTCGACGGTTGAGCTTGACGTGATTCAACACATGGATGAAGTCTGAGGTGAGACGGGGTAGATGTACTTAATGGTAGTTAACCTGATCCAGCTCGGCCCCACCCGTGCTTCAGCTCCAGTAGGAGTGCAACGGTAGTCACTTTACCCAACACGTTAATGAACAAACCAAACCGGGAGACGAAAAATCAACTCCTGACAGCGGTATTCCCTATAATCCTCCCTCTTACCCATTGTAGAGTCTGCAGAGCCGAAATTGAGTAACAAAGTCCTCACTTCTATGAGATTTCCAATTAGTCTCGCGGCCTGTATTGCCTTCATATCTCAGCATATTACTCTAGCACCATTATCATGAAGCTAACCACAACCAGATCAGATGATTGAGTTGAAGCCCTGCCTATCATCTACTTGCTCTTCTTGGTCATGGTAGGGGAAACCATTCCACGAGTTCTGGACTATACCGGGCTTTCGGTACGGCGGTGGTGGGCTCGATCAAGTTGGTCTCCTTTATTACACGAGGGAGAGATAGAGATGGATATACGCACCGTGCGTGATTGGAGCTACCAGAATCATGAGAATTTTTCATTTTTTCCCTTCTCCCCTCTTTGGGATGAAGGTTACGAAGGGAAGTAAGCTAAACTCCTCTGGTGATTAATGAGCCAAACGGCTATCCATTGATAGCAACACGTTACAGACCTTATATTGTGACGAAAGAGGATAGGAGCAGTGTGTAGGGCGCGGGCTTAATCAGTGCGGAGCCCAACGTGCTGGATAGTCTTTGTTTCAAGGGTCGACATAAACATCAAATTGCAGTGAACGACTGCCAAGTCAGAACTGTGCTACGATCTAGATAGACATAGAGAAATTAAGTCACTGTGAAAGTTTTAAGCACAAATCCGAATATATGGGGGGGTTCTGCGCGTTAATTCGGAGGAGAGTCTCAGAAAGTTTGGGATTATGATAACTCAGCTCTTTAGTAGAATGTGGACTTGGTCAGTTACTTAGAGAGGCCATAATTTCTCTCAAAATCATCAACTTGATTTAGCCAGGCCCTACCAGCAACCAAATTTTAAAACTGGTGAAATTAGCCGAGTAACTAGAACGAATTATTGTAACTAAATCCCTAATTTAGCTGGGTTTTTTCTTGGACAAATATAAAAGATTCCATAGGTCTCCGTGCGCTGGCCACAATCAATTTTTATAGGACTACATAATCACGCTGATATTATTGCCTACCACTACTAGGGGCATGATGGCTAACTAACTGTCATCTGTCTGAAATAAGTTGTGTATGCAACGAAATATTTAAATTTGTCGTTCATTTTCCCTAGTAATATTATCAAATGAGGGTTGTTGACCAACCTCAAAATTGGGTCTACCTACGCGTTATACATTATTTCATAGTCTTAAAAGCTTCGCTGACATATTTAAAATTCCATATTGGTGGTGTTATCAAGAAATTGCTGGTTCCTGCTACCCCAAATTTCAATGCTCTGGCTCCGCAAATTAGTGCGAAGTGTGATAAAAATTATGTGAACGATAAGTGTAATTTAGATTGGCATCTTATCTTTGATGCACTGTTATCTCGAACACTCTTGAATAGATTGGTATCAGATTACTTGCAGGTGTAATATTTCCTGAAAATCGACATTGGTTTTATTTGTAACTTGAGAAAAAGGTTTGGGTTGTGCAAGTGGTTTGCGACGATGAATTTCGGAAAATATTTTGGTTTCATCATTATCCTGTAAGTTTTTTTGATATAGTTGTTGTCTGATATCTATCTACGAGAAAGCGCGGATGGAGCTAGACCCGGAACACCGCTATACCTTTCTTCTCTTTCAGTCTTAAACATGACTTGAACCCAGAATTCCTTTAAGTCTGGATCCCACCAAGTGTAGTATCGGTCGTTTGTCCTATCGATTTCCCTGGCTTGTAGCTTAAAACCGCATGTCTCGTAAGGTTCTGCAGCAACAAGCATGTATTGGAAGTTCTTGTCCGGAGGATCATCTATTTTTTGCTCATAGGCGCTCATGAATCGTACCTTGGGGGTAACGTCGTGAGCAATCTCTGGATATTGTAGTTGGAAGACTAACCCCTGCTGGCGTGTTACTGGATCTCGGGTCTTCGTAATTTTGTAGCCAGGTCGTCCAATTTTGATGATGTTCCGTTTAACAGCTACTTGTACTCCAATCATTCCAACCGGGACACCTGTTATGGGATCGAGTCCTGCGCGACCTTCTTTTTGCTCCTTGGCAGCTCGACGCGCCAGGTTCGTCTGATGCTTGCGACCTTGAGTATGCGCGAGATATGAGCCATCATTTTGATGAACAGTTAAGCAGAGACGACATTCAAATGAGCCGACGTGATTTTTGAAGAAGTATGGATCTTTGTCAAGATCGATGGTTTCAAGGGCAAGTTTGCGCAACCTCTCCCGACGATCAGCGTTTGTGGCTGATTGTGAGGCAACACCTCCGCCTCCGAACTTAGAGCCAGCTCGGTTTTGATAGTCCATCCTTTAAGCTTCCAGTTGCTTCGTTATGATAGAGTTGAGATAACAGTATATCGTGTGGTGCGTTAGTAGAGGGGGTTCATTGAAGTCTCTTTGGCTTAGAATTTGATGTAGTATAGAGACTGATATCAATTGTTAGTAAGGGCGAATTGATTCAGAAAGAGAAGTTTCCTGCACAATAGCAATTCTTGCTATTTACTTGTTTGATTCCTACAGGGACAATACTTGTGAAGATATCCTTGATAGAAGCTAGCGATGGCACCTTACTAATAAAAAGCTTGGCACTTACAGTCACAGATGACTGGGTAGCTGCCGCGGCCGTCTCAAACCTCGGCGACAAGTATTCGCCACTTCCGGCTTTCGTCATGACTAGCAGTGTCGAAGGATTCAGTCCAGGAGGCAAAGTTGCAAGCTACCACCACGTCAATAGCCGGCAAAGACGAATTCTTCACCTCCAGTGGTGCCGGTGTAGTCGCTCAGTATGCTCTGCATATCTGGGATAGCCAACAAGAATCGCATCCGAATCGAAGTCGAAAGCAACCTCAAACACATCTCCATTTGACGACTTCTCGACAATGCCTCTCTCATCATTATCATCTGAGTCCTCAACCCATCTCTAACCACGCATCATCTCGCCTCAACGACCAATAAAGAAGTGGCTCCAATTTCATACAAGAGCTTGCCCCATTAATCTCTAGCCATCTCTCACTATATATTTACGACGCTAATTATACCCGCAAGGAGGACATTAAGTCGAAAAATACAGAGCCTGGGTCTTGGCTTATGGGGAGACTGTTGCTCTAATAGGGTTATACATCTTGAGGAAGGACTTGCGGCTGAGATGTGGAGCGAGAGGGGAAAGAGGTCTCTGAAGACCGTGTTGGGACCGACATTTTCGATGAGTTTTCAACTTTGGATCTTTTGTGGGCGCCAAGACCGAGATTTCGGCTAATTAGCCAGGAGGGCTTCTTCTGTCGATGAGTCAACGGCACTCCCCAGCGCCCTGGACGTCACAAAAGAAGTTGGGCTAAGCTACCGTACAGCAAACATGCTCTGTCAAGACTTTTCTGATATTTCAGCACGACCTTCAGGAAGGAGTTGGAAGGAGGCTAGAAAGGCAGAGAGTGAATTTCCCGAGGTACCCACAAGTCCGCAGCGCCCAGCTGGCTGGCCTCTTCGAACGCATCAGAAGGGGCACTATGTTTTCGGACTTAGTCCTAATGTCGGTATTAGGAGAGTACCGCACCCAGTGGTATTTGCGATTTTTCCCGGCTGCCATACACCCGCAAATGGCTATCGTTTCGTAGGCTGGAGAGGGGAGATAATGAAGGGCAAAGGGCTCCTCTAAGTGTATGATCGAATGAGGACTTGTGAGGGGTGGTACTGTTTGAGGGGGGCTATATGGGAGGCATAGGAGGGGATATACTACAGGTATAGGTATCCTTGGCCTGTAGGCAGAGAGGACCTGCATGTCCTACATAGTCATAGACTCAGACAGGACAATAAAAGGAAATAATAATAATAATAATAACCACGTCGATATTTCTCTTGCATAGAGGTCAATTCCGAACAGCGCCTCATTAAGGCTGAAAGCACGACCCAGTGTTTCCTCCCCTCATTGATCATACCTCTCGTCGACTCTGCCTTTGGCCTCAGCTGACCACAGAGTACATGCCGACGACAATACGAATAGCCGAAGGGATTCTAAAATCTTGGTGCACAATATGGGGGCAAATATCCGGGATAGACGTGAGAGAAGTCAGGATATATAGTTGATATTACGCTACGGTTGAACACAACCGTAAAAGGGGAAAAACATTATTTTTACGAGGGAGCTTTCGCGTAGAAGAGCTTTATGCGCTCCACGACCTGGTTCGCGAGATTACAAGTGACAATAAAACAACAGCCATTATTGTACGGCGTAATGATACATCATTCAGGCGGGTCTCTCAAACAAAGTCTGTAAAACGTGGACATCGATCTGACTTGAAATGGGAGTTGGCTGCTTCGAATCCATCGAAATAACATCAAATTTTTAACGGTACCCGTGTATAGAATGATGAAAAAGTTCCTAGATTACGAATGGCTTTGAAACTTTCCTTTGGCAGGTACTAACGTAGGAGGGCCAACTGTTTATTGTAAACAAACATATCTCAGTGTTATTTGAGAATCAAAATCAGAGTATGAATGACTTTGAAGTCAAAAGAATCGTCCAACCTGCTCACATAGAAATGATATTTTTTGGTTCAATTGGTCCTAAGCTAAAGTTCTATGTCCACTATGGGTGCAGGACCAGTGGAGCCGGCAGGGTTTACAGTACTTTCTCCTACAGCCTAACTCGTTCCAACCTTGTGAATCGCTGCCAAAGGTACAGCCAATTAAACAGAAACGAAAATCAAAACAATTCCGACAGACAGAAGATTCCTCCATTTTGGACCCAAGCAATGCACTCCTCACACATTCAGTCCATCATACCTTCAAAATGACAAAATTTCTCAATCTCCGCTGAGTGTGAGAGATAAGTTAGCAGGCACCTTTGATATAGCCGTTACCCTGCCATTGGTTAGTGCATGTCTGTGTTATGCTGGCTCGGTTGAGTTGTTAGGAGACAGGGGAACGGAGGATGGGCTGCTGCAGTAGGAAAAAGTAGAAGGTACAGACTAGTGCACAGACGCTGTTCATATACTTTACAATCTCTTCACCTGCCGAGATTAGTAAACCCATATATTCAAATAATATTATACTTTACATTATCCATTAGATGATATTATCTATCGTTGGAATGCGCATCTTGTATCTCCTTTACAGATCACCAATGTCAGCACAAGTCCACTTTCAATAACTGTTGAAATCTAGACACACCAGACCGAACAGCACGCAGTGTGGAGTAGACGAGGACTACTAATCTTCGATTGCTACCTGCTTTGGTTATGATCTCGGTGGTGGGAATGTTATTCCATCATGTAATCAGAACACAATTTTTCTACCTAAGCGAGGTAGGACAGAATAAATAAATTATCGAAGCATCCAAAGAAACTGCTTAAAAATAGTCACAGGAGCTTTTAAATCAACTAGCACGAGAGTACTGGAACACGAAACTGCCACTCTACCGATAGAAATCTACCGGAAGCAGCAAAGGCTCCAATATGTTAGCCACTCGAAAAAGCTACCAGTTCAGATGCTCATACCATCTGCCTCTAGTAATATAAAGCTGCCCAAACGAGGGATAAAAGACGTTCGAGCCAATAACAGGAGATAAGATCTGGCAAACTGGGTGGAAATTTGTGTGGAAGACCAGTCTAAAAAACGGTAGAAAGAGGCAGAAAAAGTCGCAGCACACCAAGAATTGGCTAAACCCTGGAAAAATCAAAGGCGGCTCCAACTACCTCGACATAAAGCTATCGCCGACCCCGAAACCTGGAGAGCAGTCAAATTTAATCAGAACCAAAAGTCGGGTCGATGGAAAATAAGTCTCCAGGAATCGCCATTTCTACTCCACAGAAATCCGACAAGAGTCCAAAGCAGTCTAGCGATGCAAATACGAAGTGAGCACATGTGGTTCAATTCGTATTTACATAGAATAAAAGTAACAGGAGTCTACAGTCCAAGCTGTCCAAGCTGTCCATGTGGCTACCAATCACAGAACCCCAAGCATATAATGATGTCCTGCTCCCGATGGTCAAATGGAAGAGGAGAAATCTGGAGACAAGCCAAAGATCGGTCCTACGAAGCAATGATAAACAATCCTGGAGACATCAAAAGGATAACACAGTGGATCCTAAATCATAGTTGGATGAAGCAATTCCAGATGACAAAGGAGTTCGAAATGCTGCTGAGGGAAAGAAAAAGGTCAAATAATGCTTGGGGCTGGTAGAGATGATCTGGTTAGTTTACATGGATGGCTCTATAGTGTAACTGCGCTTCCTGGAGAAAATATGTGAAAACTAAAGATAAAAAACAGAAAGGTGTGGGGGGTTTTCACCATAAAGGTTTACTCCCGTATAAATATTACAGATTGTAGACACTTGCATGAGCCCATAGATGTTACGGGCTAGTACCTTTTTTAGTCATAACCGGAGTTTATCCGGTTCATTTAACGAGAAGTCTTAGTGTACATGGCTTGGCTGGATTAAGGAGTTATGGAAAGGATAACTCATGCGTAAATCCATACGCGACGCGCGGTATCGAGTAGAAAACATGTAGTCTTCGTAGTACTTCTTTCTTTACACAGAAGATAATTCAATTTACGACACATTTTTATGCGTATAGCTAATGTGTACTTTGAGCAGGATATCTCAGTATGACGTTTAGAACACTCACTCAGATTTCATTTGCAGATACCACTCGAGATTAAATCTTACGGCTAATAACCTCTTTCGTGCATACTCACCACAGGGAAAAGCGTGAAACCCTATGGTCATCCGAGTGTGCTTTCATCATCCAACAAATACAATTTTACCGCGAGAGAGTAGTGTGCGGGTCAACTGAATTCGAATCAGCTTTCTCCTGTTACAAATGGGGCAGGTGTTCAAGTTACCCAGTATCTACTTGGGAGGACGGCCTGAATGGTTTACCACTGCACTATCCATCCCAAAGTAGAAAAAAGACAGACAATTAGTTGTAGATTAAAACCTAACACTTTTTAACTAATATTAGTTCATTACAACCAAAGTCTCCCTGTTCCCCATCTCTCATCTCTGATCCTAAAATCGGAGGGCAAGACTGAACACCTGTACGCGATGTCCTCTACTAACCTGGGAGTGAAATATTCTCCCAGAGCCAAGTTCAGTCAAACTTCGCAATACCGAACAAGTTGGCCTACGAGGCAATGATTCAAAATACTCCACCATATCAATCTTTCACTCCCAACGAAATCGATTCCTACCTAAGCCTCATCAAATCTACAAGTACGACTTAGTACATCCCCGTCCCCACTCCAATGACCATACCTCTCATCGACTTTCTCTGGCCTCAGCTGGTCACCAAATACACGCCTACGCCGA